CGCCCCTGCAAACCCCCTGTTATGTTGGTTGATGATTGGCGAGCGTGCACTGATTCCGGCCCAAAATGGCGGCCATGGTCTGCGGACGGACTGGAGGGACCACTTACCTTCTGCGGTGCATTCCGAACGGGGAAGGCATCTAGAAAGAGGTTTCCGGCTCGGGAGGCCTTGATGTCAAGGTCATGATTTCTATTCGGCGACCCGCGCTGTCGGGTTCGGTGTGGGTAGCAATATGCACGCAAGGTCTTTGTGAGCCTCTGCCAACTCAGTTTGAGTGCAGATGTATTTGACTCAATTGGCTTCAGGCTGTCCACGAGGCTCCTGAAATCAACCAAAAGGTTTGAGGCAACAGATGCATGTGATTTGGAGGTAAATATTTCAGAGACTCCAATGAAAAAGGGGGCTTGGTCATCGGACCAATCTGCGTGCTCATATGGGATCGCGATTGATTGACCGATGATGCACATGGGCCATCTAAAATCATGACGACAGGAGTAGCTGAATTGTGAGAGCTGATTGGATTGTCGACACTCTTGGTTGGTAGTTGTAAGTCGGCATTGTTAGGCAGTGACCGCAGGCAGAAGACCAGAGAGCTCCTTCTCCTGTGTTTGACGTGCACCACCGCAATATGGCTGAAGCACATGCTCACCGGTGAAAAAGTTCACTGCTTGCATAGTAGAAGAGCCTTTTGAGAGATACCAAAGCTGACGAGGTCAGTCACCGACACAAGCGGGGCCGTCGAGGGGGAAGTTAGGTAAGAGCCTTGCATGCTAGATGTGGTCGACACCCAACGCGCTTGTGTTAGACGCGGCCGTTACACCAACGACATACACTAAGCTCGGTGTCACACCCAGACCGGACTGATTCCCGAAGGTATGAATTTGAGGACTGAGGCCGTCAAGGCCGCCAACGTCAACAAAGATGTGACTGATCGGAGAATGACCACTCAGCACGTCGACAAGAGTGTCATAGGCGGCCGACCTTAGGCCGTAAAGTGCAATTCAGTGTCGGTTGGCAGGATCAGAAGCTAACAGTGGGCATTTGATTGTTTTTGCCACAGGGAGCTAGTGTCGTTGTTGTTATCTCCCAAGGAAAAGTGTGGAGTCGCCTAGAGTACCCTCCAATGGCGTGTTATTGACTTGGGGCGCTTAAATTGGGACCCAGGAAACCCTCGGGCTTCTTTCATTGGCCTCGAAATCTCGGCAGAGCTTTGGGTCGCCGTTGCTCGGCCGCTCAGCCACGCCGCATTTCATTCCTCTCTGCACTCTTGAAAACCTCTTCGCAGCACAGGCGTGTGTTGAGTCGACCCAACAGATGTTCTGCGCCGCGGACAAAATGTTAGAGCAGCATGCCAGGAAATGGCAGCGCTCGATCCGGCAAAGGGGAGATCAGACGAAGGATTAGTCCAAGCACCCATGTAATGTACACATGTACCGTCCAATGCAACCTGGACCTCATCGAGTTTCCAGTTCTCAAGGCATTCTTTGGAGGAGCCGGCGGCGTGGTTCTCCCTGCCTGCTGCATATTATTCACATCCGCTTGAGCATGGACACATGTACCACGGGGTGGCATTGCTGGAGGACTGCACCTCTCCTCCTCTACCTCCCTACGCAGACCAAGTTCTTGATTCTGAACCCTTGGCGTATCAACCTGTTCTGCCGTGTATACACCTCGACCTCGACTGATATATAAGGATCCCCTCATCGCATCATCAACACCATCATATCTCATGATCTCAGCATCACAACAATACCAGCTTCCTATCGCAGCAATACCAGCTTCCTACCGCAACATTACCAGCTTCCTACCACATCAACACGCATCAACACACATCAAACAGTCAAGATACAACACCGCCGCAATGTGCAACTGGGAAAAGACCGTCTACGCTTGCCAGCACGCAAGCAAGCCACGCAGACAAGCATACTCGTGCACCATCTACACTCGGTACATCTATGGCGAGTGCAAGTTCGACTCTCGCCACGACAAGGTGTTCAGCGTCATCAGCTACGACGACTGCGAGGACTGCCGCAGACTCTATGAGTTTGTCAACTTTTAACGGGGATCGCTATTTCATTCACTTCAACAACTTGTACTACGACCATCTCGGCATTCTTTTTTAACACGATTGTATGACGACACGGTTACTTTTCTCCAGCATCTTGGCATTCAGCATCGATCAGCACTTTTCTTCTTCTTAGACTCGGATTGTTAGATATAAAAGAGGTTCACACCGCAACAACCAAGGAGTTGAGCATGGATGGATACATGTATTATTATCTGAGGGTTTTTATTTTTTATTTTTTTTTTGAAGGACACGAAATATGGGACATGTACAACATTGATTCTTACTGGGCACTTGGTAACGATGGGACCTCACATTCGTTGGATTGGTTTCTCTTTATTTTATTTTTATTTTCTTCCTCCTTCCTCTCTCTTCTTTTCTATTCTCTTCTTACACTGTATTTTTCTCTTCTTGCTTCCTTTTACTTCCTCAACCTGAAACTTGCAACACCATGTTTTTTTTCTACAGATTAGGATTAGATTTAGATGTCATACAACCAATTATATTAACATGATGTCACAACCTTCCGAATATACCGAAGCTGAAAACAGACGAAAGGCTGAACATATGCGGGTAGACGCCACCGTCGGGCAGGGGCTCTTAATGCCGGATCCGAATGCCATGCATCCAGCTCCCGTTGGACTTGTTGTGCCGCAGGATTGCAAGAAATTTCGAATCCTCATCATCCAACTCCAAACAACACCTACACTAGAAAATGATACCATCCAAAGTCGGTTACTCCGGTAGGGGCGTCCAAGGTGCCCACACACCACCCACGCGGAACCCCGGACCCCTTTTTATGGCCGGGCCGTCGATTTGCGGACCCTGCCCCACCTTTGGGTATGCTCCGGCCGAATGCTCCGAGCTTTTCGGATATAGATCCACTCACAAGTTGCGGTTCTTTTCTTTCTCCCCCTTTTTAAAAAGGTTTTTACACAAGTCACCCACAAATTTGGTTCGGTCAACGTGACTTGTCCGAATCGCGGCCGTCTTTTTTTCCCTCCAAATGTCATGCGCAAAAAAGATGAGCACCAACAATGCAACGGTTCCCGGTCTAGCGGACTCGGCAAAGCCAATTTTCAATTCAACCAATCCCCTTACCACTCCTCAGGCGCCAACGTTAACCGCAATGAGCGCCTTGGAGGATGCTGTGCCCCAACCGGCACCAGCATGGCCATCTCCCAGACTGCCCTTATTCCCATCAAGTGGGGAACCCAAACCCACCACCGGTCAAGCTTTTTTTCTTTTTCTTTTCAATCAACACCTGCTGCATTTAATGCTATCAGTATTAATTGCATTTGCTGTTTGAAAAACAATGGCCAATGCCACCAGAGGGGGGCGGTGGTCCAACAAAACAATAAAATGAGCCACAAAACCTCAAGCAACAGGGCGGTGTTTCAACACACATGCAGCCACAGCAACAGAAATTATGCATAATTGTTGACGTCAAACCACATTTAGCCCCCAATCCTGAACAATGGGGATGGTGTCGCACAACCTACGGCAATAAAACCCGACACCCAGGATCACGGGATCCATCCGATGAAGAACACCAAAAAAAAAAAAAAAAAAAACCGGGCAGTGCGGTTTCCCTGTGCAATCTCAAGGCTGACCTGCGTTTAGCGACATGAAACATCCGCAATAGTGCGGCACGAACTGTATACTACATGTTACATAGCTTGTGCCACAGCCAGAGATATCGGGTATTCCGTGGTTAACAACAGCAACAAGCATGCATTTCTACTGATCTTCTGTCTCCTTTTTGATTCCACTTTTCGTCTGATTCACTCCATATTAGGTACTTCTATACGGCCCCTCTACCTGGGCCGCTGGGGTCGATCTACAGGCCAGTGTAACTCATGCAGTGGCTTTGGCAGTCAAGCGAGAAGAGAAAGTTGAAGTAAGAAAGACGTTATCACATTATGAAACTGCCCTCTGCTCATTACCATTTGTCCTCATGCGAAGTGGCAAGAATCTGCAAACTCCATTTTTTGCTCAAACGGGAAGTTTCACCGATAGAAAACTGCGCGTTGATCTTTTGATGTTGTCATGTCTCTTGGACTGCATTGAAGAGCTTACCAATTGGAAAAAGGGGGAGAGGTGAAAAATAAAATAAACGGAGTATACTCCGAAGAGTCACACGAACGGTTTGGGGGCAAAGAATCATCATACCCGACATTTCTGAGGAGGTAGATCCATCCGGGTCTCTCCAGAAGAGGCCCATAGCTACACTGCACTAACTCCAAGTCGTACTGTTGCCAATATTTTATGGTGTGTAACACAAAGCAAAGCGTCGACCTACACCTCAACTTTCAAGGCAGCAGAATAACCTTAATTTTCATGTTGTACACGAGGAAAAAAAAATTTCATTGTGTAACTCGTCGGCGTATGTAGTAGCTCCTACGCAATGCTTAACGTAACTTCGCTTGACTACATACCTATTCTTAGTCCAACTATGAACTTCAAGTTCATGTTTACTGTAGGCTGTAGGCTGATTTGAAGTCTTGTCTATGACGAGCATGGCGCAACTCCTACACACTCGGTGTGCACAAGCATATGTAGGGATTTGGCAATACGGCCACGGTGAATTTTTGTTACTGCCAACAAGAATCCAATCTAGACTAGTTGGGTACTGCACATGTCCCGTTGGAGCTGAACAGGATTTCATCTCTCAGATAGTTGTCAAAAAAAAAAAAAAACCACCAGGCAACAAGTACGTACATCCCTGCCGTAAACACTCTCCCCGTGAATCTCCACATCATCACCATCTCCGCCAAAAGTCCGTTCAAATCCATTGACTCCAACGCCGCATTTTCCACCCTCCAAGTTCCAAAACTCCACAAACCTTTGAACCTTGACAAAATCCTTCATCCCCACCACCCGCACACACAAACCCAATCCCCATACCAGACTCCAACAAAACAAAAAAAGAAAAGGGCGTGTGGCTCAGTTGGTAGAGCGCCCGCTTAGCATTGATACCTACTTTAGTTATTCTTCATGACTGAGTAGGGTATATCCTGCGGAAGGTCCCCGGTTCGATTCCGGGCTCGTCCATTTCCATTCCCTCCTTTTAAGCTCAGGGGCGTGTAGCTCAGTTGGCAGAGCGTTCGCTTTGCATTTTCTCACTGCTTAACCGCAGAAGGGAAAAAGAGAGAAATGCGAAAGGTCTAGGGTTCAATTCTCCATACTCGTCCATCATTACAAAAGGGGGGGTTGGCGATTTTTTTTTATATTTATTTTAGTATTCGTTTTATTGTGAGTGCCAATTGGATGTTAAATGAGGAAGTTACAAAGCTATGTAACCGTCACTTCTTTTTATTCTGTCATGGTCATCTACGTGGGTGTCTGAACCCATCAAGTTGCTGAGTAAACCATCAGAGCCTGACGTTGGCCCATGTTATTTCTCTAGCTAGATTTTCTACATCTGTCGTGTGTTATTGCAAATCTCGCGCCCTTCGCGTGACGATCTCTGTACATTTTATGGATGACGTCTGGCTATATTTCGGCAAGATGCCTCTTTTCTTGCTTGCGATGATGCGGGACCCACAACTACCCACCAATCACCACTTGAGCAGAAGCCGTAATCGACAACCGATCATCACTTTATGAAAAGAAAAAACGAATTGTATATAAACACCTTACTTGAACATCACCGTTATTCTCACATCTAGTCAACTCAAATTTCATTTCTGCTCTACATCATATACCGTAACCCCGAGTTCCTGAACCATTGGCACCATGGCCACCTCTCCCTTCAGCACGCTCCCTGGCTCTGCCCAGAAAGAGAGCATTGCACCATTTAGAGTCAATATATCTGATCTCGAGCTCGAGCGCACAAGAACTCTCCTCAAGCTCTCCAACATCCCGGGAGAATGCTACGAAAACTCGATGCCCGACGGCGCTCGATCGCTCGGTCTCCGCAGGGAATGGCTGATTGAAGCCAAACGAGTCTGGGAAGAGGAATTTGACTGGTAAATTTCTTTTTCTCTCTGCCGCATCTCTTCTCTCACACAAGAAAAAAAGACCTTTTTACTGAGAGATATATACATCTAGGCGCGAAGTCGAAAACAAAATCAACGCTCTGCCAAACTTTACCGCCTCAATCCCCCTCTCGCGCTCCCCGTCGAACGAAAAGATGATACGAATCCACTTTATCGGCATCTTTTCTTCTTCTCCGTCAGCAACTCCTGTCGTCTTTCTGCACGGCTGGCCCGGCTCGGTTCTCGAGTTTCTCGGCGTTCTCAACTTGTTTTTACAGAAATACCCGGACCCGACTGAGCTTCCGTACCACTTCATCGTCCCCTCGCTTCCGGGTTTCACCCTCTCTGATGCATTCCCCAAGGACCAGCACTACGGGATGGAAGACGTCGCCGGGGTGGTTAATCACCTGATGACCGAGACTCTGGGGTTCAAGACGTACTGCGTGCAAGGAGGCGATATCGGGTCGCGAGTGGGGCGGATACTGGGCGCGAGGTACGAGGAGTGCACCTCTGTGCTGCTGAACTACAGCCCCGTACCTGCTCCTCGGGATTTTGACTTGAATTCTCTGTCGGAAAGCGAGGTGAAGGGTGTCAAGAGGGGGGAGTGGTTCAAATCCGACGGGTGCGCGTACGCGATGGAGCAGGCTACGCGGCCGGCCACGCTCGGACTTGCGCTGAGCACGAATCCGGTCGCGCTGCTGGCGTGGATCGGGGAGAAGTACCTGGAGTGGACGGACAAAGGGTCGTTCCCCTTTAATTCTGCGCTGCGGCCGGAGAGCGGCGGGTACAAGTACTCGAGCGAGCTGATGAGGGAGGCGATTGCCAGCGTGGCGTTTTACTGGCTGACGGGAAAGGCGCACACGAGCTTTTACTCGTACAGGGAGGCGTTTGCGCTGCTGGGCCAGCCGCCGAGTTCGAACGCGAGTTACGAGGTCAGGAAGCCCAAGAGGTTCGGGTTCAGTTATTTCCCCATGGAGGTGGTGCCGACGCCGAGAAAATTGATGGAAGGGTGCACGGATGTGGCGTTTTGGAGGGATCACGAAGTGGGCGGGCACTTTGCGGCATTGGAGCAGCCGGGAGAGATCATGAGGGATTTGGAGGATTTCGTGGCGGGGATGGAGAATTAGTCCGACTAAGGTGGATGATGGGGGTTTTACAATGTCTTTGTTTTATTTTTGTGGTTCTACTTTGTTTTGGAAGATGCTAGACCGCTGTTACTGGCTCAGTCACCATTGTGCTGAACGAATAACAATGCTCTGTTACATGATGATTTCTTTGTCTAAAGTGTCTGATACATTTTGTCTGTTAGTGCTTCAACCCTCGCATTCTTTGTGTACAGAAAAATGTGGTATGTTCTGACATAATCGAGCTGTTAAGAGAGCATGTCCTGGGCTGTATAAAAAAACACTGGTATCCCTCCACCAACTAGGTCCAAGCTTTCTCATCGTCATCAGCATACCACTTCCCAAGTTGTCTGCAAAGCTCTGAACTGCTCAGCCTCACTTTCACATACAGGTAAGTGATTCCCTCTTTCAAAATGACCACCGGCCGTGAAGAGATCAATCTGGCCTTCCTAAAGTCCAAGGTTCCTTCACTCCGGTGCATATCTCTTGGAGAGGCAAGGAAGCTAACCTGCAGCAGGAGCCTAGCGGACATTTGGGCGACCGTCAGCGAGACCGAGCTGACCTCCCTCGCCGAGGAGGTCGCACTAACCATCAAGCAGATCCGCCACCTCGGCAACGTTCGCATGTGTCCTCGGACTCACCCCCGCGAACAGCCGAACCTCGGGCATTCTCTAATCTTTAAGGGGTTTGACTTTTGTGACTTTTCTCATCAGGAGAGCAACTCGGCCATCTTCCGCGAGCTCTCCCGAGCCATGGACGAGACCGAGGGTTTGGTGGTCCCCGGTGAGAGCGCAGCCTGGCTGTATGAGATCCAAGGGAAACTGCTGAAAAAGATGCCAAACTTTGCGCCGTTTGTTTTTACCCACGGTGATCTCTGCGCGAAATACATCTTTGTCAATACCGCCACTCGCAAGCTGACTGCTATCACAGGCTGGTCGGGTGCCGAGTACTGTCCCGTCTTTTGGGAGTACTCGTCCCTCCTCTGGGGTGACTTGCCTCCTTCTGATGAGATTGAACTCGGAGGAGGAGTTGTTTTTGCCTCGCGTGATCGCCAGTGGAAGCGGATGCTGAAGGGTGCGATGGAGAAGCATGAGCCCTACAGGGACTTGTTCCAGGCTGGTAATTGGGTCAAGGCTCTTGGAATTGTTCGAACTCGACATCATCTTCTTCCCGAGAGGATGGATAGTGTGCTTGAGTATTTGAGTTCTCGTGATTACTGCTCGAAGGAGTTGGAGCCCGAGTGCTATGGGCATCCGGAGCTTTGAGAAAGTTGATGATGCAAGGTGAGTTTTAGAGATGAGTTTTAGAGATGAGTTTTAGAGGTGAGTTTTAGAGGTGAGTTTTAGAGGTGAGTTTTAGAGGTGAGTAAATACAATGTTTATAACTTTCTCAATTTTCTTGTTAATTCATTATGCAATGCGTGAATCTTTATGTGCAAGAGTTTTTGTGTATAACTAGGTGTACTTACTAATTGTGAACAACAAACTTCAACTGAGCTCATGTCCAAAGAGGAGGGATGCAATTCTGTTAAAATGATGATTGATAGTTCGGCTTGTGATTTATTCAGCTTCCTAAAATTTTATTCTTTTACCTACCTCGTCAAGTATTAATCAAGAGTCATTCCCATAACTTGTTCCTCATTTTGAGCTATATTAATGATACTCTATCCCTTTCCGGGGCACGAACAAGCCGTTCAGGAGATAAAGCACACCCCTCCTCATATATCAATACTCTTCTTCTTCACCTATAAATCTCCCCACCCAAAATCCCCCTCTTCCCTCTTAATCGCCTCAACTAACCCAACCAAAACCCCTCTCATCCTGCTCTCCTCCTCCTCGCTCTTAAACGTCCTTTTAATCTCCAAGTCATCCCTAGGCCACATCCACTCCTCCATATAAACATCCTGCAACCTTATGAGCCCAGACCAGAACTGACTGACCCACCTCGGCCATACATCACTTTGCCCTAACCATTTCTTCTCTCCCTGTATATCCCCTTTTATTATGCGCATAAAGTATGCTGCTGCGTGTTGGTCTTGTGTCCAATTTTTATGGGGGGGATCATCATGATAAAAAATCCAGGAGGAGTTTGTAGGGTGGGTAGATGGAAGTGAGAGGTACGATTCGATTTGTTTCTGGTTTGGTCGCCGGATCTTTACGCCGCGGGTGTATAAGGGAAAGAGATACTCGGTTGCGTATCTGTGAAAAAGGGTGATGGTGAAGAGAAAGTAGTCTTGCGGCGCATTGGGCGCTACGTAGGTTTGGAGGAGGGTTAGGTCTTTTGAAGGTAGGTTGATTGAGGGTGCCATTGTGATTTATGAAATTCTAATTATGGTGATGATTGTGGTGATGATGGCAAGAATTTGAGAATGGGGGGTTTCAAAGATATGACTGGGTTGAGATAAGTGTGGTGTTACTTGGGTGATGACTCCCTTCGATTGTGCCTTGTGGTGGCTGATGAATCAAGCCTGAGGCGTTGATGCATTTGAGGACAAAGCGAGGCCTCGGACTGCTAAAATATTTAATCATGCCTGCTTATACAAAGAAATGAGTCGTTCTTGAAGCTTTAACAGATGTGTCCAGTTTCTTTGTAGCTTCAACTGCCACTTCTGTTCCGTCAGAAAGAATGATTGTTAGCGCAACAATTCCTTCCAGGTCCAGATTATAAAGCACAACCACAAGCCATGGTTTTGTTTACGCATATTAACTTCATCATGTTTCGTTTCTCGCGAATCTACGATCACGGTCACTCGTTTTGCCGTTATTCAATCACTTATTACTTTTCTTGTATAGTACTTGCTAACAATGACTGATATCCCGCATAAAAGTATTGCTGCGAGAGGTGCAACCGCTCTCTCTGCATCCAACAGGTTGCTGGGTACCCAACACAATCAATCACAACGCTGTTGGTTATTCGGCTCAGAATAGTGCTGTTTGTGCCGGCTGCAAATCGGAGTTTTCAACAGGTGCCTATGGACTCTGAACTCGGTGACACCAATGCATGGTAATCGCCAGTGGTTCAAAGGTTCTTGAGATAAGTTGCAATCCCATCGCGCACGTACCTAGCCATCTTCTTTACATACTACCCGCAC